GGGGGGAGAGCAGAGATGGACACGTTCCGTCTGTAGTGACTCCAACACTGAGGACAAGGTGTGTATGTGTTATTGTTGTTATTGATACAGTAGTGAGTTATGATTTGTTGTTGTTGTTGTTGTTGTTATCAGAGAATACAAAAAGGAATACAAAAAGGAAGCGGAAACTTTGGCATCCTTGCAGGAAAGAACAAAAGAACGTTCAGCCAGATTTATGCACTGGCACAATCAGTGGAAATTTTAAGACCCTCGGTGACATTTTGGAGAGAGCAACGGAGCATCAATGGACATGTCCGGAGTGCAGGGATGTTGCTTCCTGAAACAATGAACGATGATGTTGCTATCGGTTGATACAGTAGTTAGTTATGAGTTGTAGATGTTATAGATCCAGTTATGAGTTGTTGTGGGTGGTTGGCGGGTGCTCTTGTGTGGTTTGCTTCTTCTTTCCTATAAAAAAATCTATCGTCTCTATCTCCCCCCCTTCTTTTTTGTATTTGTTACTCTCTTGTAACACCTCTAATCTTCGGCACTTATATGACCTTATTGTGTTACAAGTGCTGTAAAACTCTTACGAAAACAAGGACAACTTGCTGATCCGTTGTTTCTCTTTAGACTCTAATAAGCCTTGCCAGTATTCTTAAATATCATCCTCTCATAAAACAGGAATTTTGTTCTGATATGAGAGGAACTTATGATGGGACAAGATTCAAAAACGATGTTTCCATGGCGCTTGCTCTCAGATCCAATGTTCGGCTTCTGACTGCCAACTGCCATTACTTTACGTTAGGAATAATATTTTACCATTTTTTGGTCGCTCTTTTTGTTTTTGATTGTGTGACCGTTGTTGTCTTCGTGTTTGTCGCGTTTTTAACACACTCGAAATTATGCATTGGTGGTGACCTATAATTCAGGCGACCTCTAACCAGTCAAATGCCACATCTTCGTCATTCCAGACTTCGGCCGACCAACAGCACTCAGCATTGCCAATCCAAATTTCGGTAAAAAAAAAAAAAAAGCAAAAAAACCCCATAAGAGTGCTGTTTCTTCTACTATCTATCTGACCTGCACTGTAACGTAACACTGTCCCTGCGGTTTTATGCAAAAAAAAATTCCAAAAGAATTCTGAAATTATGCAATTCTGTTAATTTTAACAAAG